CTCTCTCTCTCTCTCTCTCTCTCCCTCTCTCTCTCTCTTTCTGAGGAAGAGTCTTGCTATATAACCAGCATGGAGTCTGGCCTTCAATTCTCAGCAATCCTCCTGCCTCACCCTTTTGAAGAATTTTCTATGAAGGGCTGGGTGGAAAACACTTCCCATTTAGCAGGACAGTGTCTGCAGTACACCTCTAAATTCTACTCTGCAGCAAGCACAGTGTGTACATGATCAGGTCCCCAGAACGTCACCTAAATACATTGCTGTTGGATTTCATATCTTTTTGATATGTTATGAAATAGTGTCCTTTTAACTTTCTTATGCCAGTAAGAAGTGTAAATCCGTTCTTGTCTCTTTTGTACAGACCGTACAAAAACAGAGAGTGGATGGATTTGGTCCTTGATTTTAATGGTAGAGTCTCACTTGTTTTGTCTAAGAATTGAGAGTAATAATATCTACAGAGCACTCTCTCTTTCTGTAGAACACATAACAGATGCAATGCACTCAATATGAATACCTGTGTATAAATATTGTCTATATCCCAGTAATTAGAAAAGATCCTCTTTGTCTCTTATGTTACATTCCTTGGCATGACTCTCTCTATGATCAGTGTTGGAACCACATTCCAGGCAACAATCCCCAAATCCTTATCTCTCCCCCAGCTTTGATGTTGAACTCCAGATATCACGGTGGTTCATTTTCCTGTTCATCTCCAGCATTTTCTCTCCTCACCTTCTCCTACAACTTTGTTAAGGCATAAGTTTTGCGATCTGTTAACCCCTAGCACCATAGACGGTGACACACAGAACCTTTAAAGCTGTAACTAAGTTGAAGTGAGGGTGTTAGGCTGGGTCCTAATCCACTGTGATGGTGTCACTGATAGAAAAGGAGATTAGGATGCAGAGAGCGAAGACCGTGTGAGGACCAGGAGAGGAGATGGTCATCAAAGCCGTGGATAGAGACCTCAGGAGAACCAGTGCTGTGTGCTCTTGATTTCAAACTCCAACTCCAGAACGTTGAAAAACTTAATTTATTATTTAACCCTCTCCATCTATGGTGCTGTGCTGCGGCAGCCCTAGCTCTGCCTCTCCTCATGGATTCATTTTAATGATGACCCCCAGATCTACCCAACTGCTTGATGCAGTGGTTAAAAAGGTGGCCATGGAATGCTCTGCAGTTTCTCCCACTGAGATACAGACTGTGTGCCCTCTCACCTTGCACCTGGGTGGGCTTGGGACAGAATGCAGTATAGAACACCCAGTTACTCCATGGTAGAGGTGAACCCCATGCCCAGGGCCAAGATCAAGATCAAGAGGATTGCTTGTTCAGGAAAACCTCCACACACTCTGTGTCAGAAGTATTGCTGTATTAGACAAGTGCCTTTTTGCTTAAACATTATCTTTCTGCTATTGCTTGCTTCTAATTCTTCACCCCTCACTAATGTTTCTTCCATGTTCCTGACTCTCTGAAGAAGATAGATTTTGGTAACTGATTTCCAGAACCTGAAATTCACAGGACTGACCCGCTGTCTCCCATAGAAAGTTGGAGCTGAGAGAACATCCAGACCTGCAGCTTTTTAAGAGTCTACTGTTATCACATCTGCAGGACCTTCAGGAAATTGTAAGGAACTTCCAGTTTCCCTCACTTGATTGGCTATGGCTCCATTGTCCTTGCCTCTCCTTTCTTGCCCCTCCCTCCTCCTCCTATGTTTGGGATCTATAGGGCTCAGGTTGACTTGAAAGAGTAAAGGGAAATAAATCAAAGATAGGATCTACATGCAGAACATTGACAACTGAACATGTAAGTTCAGAATAGACAATATTAGGAGAGTGGGACATACAAAAGCTTAGTTAGGGCAATGTTAGGTCTGGGGTGTCACTTGAATTTCCATGGTGAGATGGCAGGAAATCAGTGGATTACATCACAACAGAGTACTGGAGCAATGAAAAGCTGATGATTTAGATCAGAAATCGTTAGTAAGGTATTTTAAGCCATGAGACTGCATTGTATCTCCTACAGAAAGACTACAGAGGGAGGGCGGGCAGGGACAGGCACAACCTCAAAATTTAGACTCAAGCTTGAAGGACAAAGCCCTGGTGTCATGCACTGAAAAGAGGTTACCAGTTGAGCCGTAGACATAGTAAAGAATGGTTGTGTGAGCGCGGTCCCTGCTCAAAGCAAAAGGAAAAGTTGTCTCGGGAAGGAAGAAGTCTGATAGAGCCTATGGCACTGGGAATCATAATAAAATGGGGAAGGGGCGACTGGATTTGGTGACATGGAGTCATCAACCATCCTCCAGGAGACCACATTTGGTGCAGTGCTAAGGATCAAGGGCACAGGGAGTGAGGCTCAGAAGAAAATGTGAGACCAGAAGTGGAGAGAGCAGTCAGAGGCGCCCTCTGCTAAAGCCTGGCTGCTAATTCTTCTCACAGAAAGTGGCCTTTTCCGAGAAGTAGAGCTGAAGTTGGGAAAGAAATTAGACCAACGATTGCATCTTTTAAAAGGGAAGAGTATTACAACATCCACGCGACACTGGGATTGAAATAGTTGAAAGGAAATCTGGGGAGTTATTTGATAAAACATAAAAGAAAAATGCAGGAGGCAAGTTTTTGGGAAGGTGGGAAAGAAAGAATAGGAACACACATGAAGGTCAGTCTTCGGAAAGTATAAGAACTGGTTGGTCACAGCACAGGTGCAAGCAGGTTGGAGAGGTTTGGGGAGAGAAGGCTAAAAAATTTACATCAGCATGCTTCCATTTTCTCACTGAAATATCAGCCAAGTGCCTACATTGAGTGTGACAGTGGTGGAGGAAGTTAGGTGGTTCGAGAAGAAAGAACCTCTGAAAAAGTCATCATAATGCCAGGAACCTGCTAAAAAATAGAGTGAATTCACAGAGTGCCGAGTTTCCATTTGAAATCGATAGTCATTAAATTGAAGTCTTTGGTCACTTTAATCATTGTGACAGCAGGCAAGTCATTTCCTCTTTCTGACCTGTGGTTTCCTCTTGTATCACAGGATGGTGACTTTTGACCCAAAGGAGGATGTGGTACCTGCGGATGACTGGTACACATCAGGACCTCGCCACAGAGGGCCCACTGTTGGCACCGGTTACCTCGGAGGCACACGGCTCCCTCTGCGGTCTTGCAATGAGGGTAGACCCGCAATTTTGCGACTTTGTCTTGTTAGCCTGGCTCCACCTTCCAGTGTACTGCCTGGTTGCATTGATATCTTAAAATCAGTGAATTAGAGATTTTTTAGTTCATCATCTTCTCAGTGCCCTGCTGGATGCTTGCAGGGGAGGCAAAGAAAACCTGAGTCTGTTGAGGAATAGCCAGTGAAGAGCCCAAGTCTGCAAGAATCAGACCGACTGAGACTGAGGTTGAATTCTGGCAATGCTGCTTTCTAGCTTGAGCTTTACACAGCTAAGGTAACCAGTCTAAGTCTCCATTTTCTCACCAGTGCAATGGTTACATTAATTATAACTCAGTTATTCGATATTGATAATCTCTCAGGTGCATGCAGCGCTTAGCACATGTAAACACGTGCAGTCTGCAAGAGGCCCTGAGGTGAGCTTGAACAGTAAAGGCAGCTGTTCCGCTGTGGATAAGGTTCAAAAGGAGCAGCTACTGCTGTAAGAAGCATTGCTGTTGATGGATCTTTGACTTTCATAACACAAGCTAGGAAGTGAGCCCTACGATGCAGCACACAGACTGGTAAGGACAATGTCTCCCATTTCTGTAATTCATGTGGTCTGGCGGAGATTTCCATGTCTTTTCTCCTTTAATCCTCACTTGGAAGTCAGTCTTCACCGTAAAACACATCCATTCCGCAGAGGAGAAAACTGAAGCTCAAAGAGATGACCTGGTCTAGAAACTCAGATTGGGGAGAAGGGATTTGAATACAGATTTATACAACTCAAAATCCCAGTCGTCTTTCTGCAACAACGCGACTTTGAACTGGAGGTGATTTTGCCTCCTAAAAGAAATTTTGATTGTCATTAGTGGAAGGAGGTTGCTACCAGCATCTCGTGGATGGAGTTCTAAGATCCTACTACATACCAGAAAACACACAGGAGTGTCCCATCAACAAAGAAGTGTCAGGCCCCAATGTCGACAGTGCCAAGTTTGAGAAACCCTGCAGGACATTGCAGTTTCACACAGAAGACCCCAGTGAAAGTGCCAAGGAAAGATGGGAAAGGAGAAAGTAAGAAGGGAAAGAAGGAAGAAAATCATCATATTAGAATACGGTCAAACCCAAGCCGCCCTGGGAGAACCCCTTTGAAAAGCAGCACTTCACAGCAACCCAAAGCAACAGCTCTGGGATTGGTTGACCTGCTCTTCAAATCTTGCTGGACATGATACTGAAGCAGCCAGTGGGGCTGTAGTTTCTGTTGAGTAAAAGAGAGATGCCAGAGACTGTCCCAGAATGTCATTATGGGTATTAAATGAACAAATCTTCAGTAGTTACTACTTCCAGGCTGTACTACTTGAAATATTTCCTCCACTGTTTACTATTTATATGACTTTCAGTAGGCTTCACAGTTTTTCTGAGCACTAAGTTATTCTTATGGAAACTAAAAGTAACAAACACATGGAGAGCTTCTGTAGATCAAACCCGTCACTGTGTATAACATTCAGTAGAGTCCGTGGTCTCTAATGAGAATCCCACAAATATTAAGAGAACCTACTGCTGTCGTACTGTTTATGACACAACACAGAAGCTAGGCAAATTATTTCCATCCCAGAGATGATTTCAAGAAGGGACGAGGAAACGCACTGTGTTGAAAGCAGAGATGTGGATTCTTTGCTGAGTTCCTCTTTCGTGGAATCCAGAGATTGTAACGTATTACCACATACTTCCGGTGCCTGTTCAAGATTGTTTTCAACTATAAACTCTAGGCAACTAGGCAACTCTAAACTAACAGAAAGATGAACCACACGGAAGCATTAAGACTCTCAAAGTGGGAAGGGACAGGGGAAGATACACTCGATGAGACCTGGGGCTATAAGACAGTGTAAAGGGGTCCATCCTGAGATTTGAACCTCCTGAGTTGAGTCTAGTGCTGTTCTCATAATGTGAAGCTGCCTCCTCCCTCTCTTGTTTACACAGCCACAGTGTAGCATTTCTGGTGGCCAGGAGCTTGTACTCGCCTTGGGTGTGACGTTATATCTTATTTACTCCATGTGGAAACAAGGTTTCCTATCTTGTTTTAGTTACTTTTCTTGCTGCTGAGACAAAATACCGAACACCCAAAGTTAAAAGAGGAAAAGGCTATTTGGCTCTCAGTTCATAAAGGTTTCAGTCCATTGTCGGCCGGCTCCAAGGCAGAGTGGCATCGCAGAGGAGAAACAGTTCATGGCAAAGCAGGGCAGGCGAAGGCAGCCAGCAGCAAGCAAGGGACAGGCGACAACCCTCCTTCCCCCTATATTTCATCCAGGCTACTCAGCCTTAGACAGAAGCCATAGCAGCACTGCACTTCATCCTTTGGGGTCCTGGCTTTTCTCTCCCAGCCCTGATCAATTACGGTACAGTAGTACCTGTTCTGTTCTCCCTGTTCTTGTCTTCCCTGGGAATTTCCACTATGGATGCCAAGTTCTCATTGCCCTAATGCTTACTGATTGACTTTGTGGATGTTTTTAAGTTTGTGGGATATTCTTCCTAAAGACAGATGCCCAAATCTGCTTTATCTAAAATGTCAAAATCAAACCTTGAGGATGTCATCCTTAGGAAGGATGGGATTACTTCTTCTGTTTGGAGAGAAGAGTTTAAAGGGATGCTGAACAGCTAAAGGGTGATCTGTAGTAAAACTGTCCCTTGATACGCAATATTTATCCCCTCATTACTAACAAAAGTGGGTGGTTTCTAGGTGTGGTTTCGTGTAAGTTCAGCGCTCAGGGAGGCTACGGGAGGAGGATTGCAAGTTCAAGACTAGCTTTGGCAACATATGGAGACCCTGTCTCAAAATAAAAATGGGCTTGAGGTGTAGCTCAGTGTGAAGGACTAAGATTAAATCCCCCCACTATTGTGAAATAAAGGAAGTAAGTGTTAATTTACCCAGCTACAGTATCATATTTCCCAGCTGTTTTAGTTACTTTTCTCTCCTTGCTGAGACAAAATACCCAATGCCGAAAGTTAAAAGGGGAAAGATTTACTTAGCTCACAGTTTGTAGAGGTTTCAGTCCGCAATCAGCTGGCTCCAAAGCAGGGTGGCACATGGCAGAGGGACAACCATTCGTGGTGGTGGAAGACAGCAAAAACAAGCAAGAGGGAGCAGCACAAGCCTCTTTCTGTCCCTTATATCATATCCAGTCTACCAGGATTGGGGGGGTGCCAACCCAGTCAGCAGACTGGTCCAGCAGTCACCCAGCCTCAGTCCCAGCACCCTTAATCCCAGCATTGGACTACAGATCAATCACACAGTCTAGATTCAGCTGCCTCTGAAAAAGCCCAAGACTGCATGAGGTTTTGAGGGGAGATCTTGACACAAACCATAACACCACCCATCCTTCCATGTAGACATGAGTAAATAATGAGTAATTCAAGATTCAAGATTGTATCACATCAGCACATATGCCACAGCATTCCTTTCTCAAAAAATGGTCTTTCTTCCTTTTATTTTCCTTCTCTCTCACTCTCCCTTCCTTCCTTCCTTCCTTCCTTCCTTCCTTCCTTCCTTCCTTC